AAGAAGGAACAAAGGCCGCAGCCTTCCTGTGCTTTCTGAGAGGCCGCCCTCAGGTCAGTGCTTTTCAAGCTGCAGCTTAGGAATCTAGCAATCAGTTTAGAAGGCCATTAGCTGGACATTTTAAAATTAGAGTAGAATGTAAAAAAATTACAGGATAGAAGACAAGTCAGAGAAAGACAGGAGAGAAGAGAAGAGAATAGATCAAAGTCCATTTCACGTTGCAGGGACTACGCGGTGATATGCAGAGGAGGACCCAATGTAAAAGCATTTCTTTCTGTGTCACAGTAAGGAAAGAGAAAAGAAAAAAAAAGGTTTGAAAGCTGCTGCTGTAGGCTGATGCAGAGCTATTAAACACTGTACTTAAATACGGTTTAGAAGGGACATTACTGCCCCCTACTGGGGCTATTCTTGATTTTGCACAGAGATGGGACACCATAGGTTAGCAAAGGCCCTGACTGTCATTGCCCACATGACCTCAGCCATCCTCTCCTATCCCATCTGAAGGCTCACCTGGAGGGGACTCACCCCTTGAGCTACCTCAATTCCCTCAGTAATGAGTCAAGGCAGCACTAGAAGTAGGAGCTGGTGTTCTGACCTTGAAAATAATTTTATAGCACAGCGTCCTTCCCTCCTACCCACCCCCCCCACAGTCTATCCTGGGAAACTAAGCTGAGCAGCCCCATGACTGATTCTCAGCCACATGTTATCCTTGGTCCCACCTCTGCCCCATCCCACATCCCAGCTGGGCAGAGCCTTCCCAGCCCTACGCAGCCACCTGTCTCTGCTTCTCTGGGGAGACTACACCCCTTAGAGGAATGCAAACCAACTGCATGTTCTCAGAGCCAGGATGCCAGCAGCCTCCATCCTCCAACCCCCTGAGGTCTGAAATAACTGACTGGGGTTGCCATAGCCAGATCCTCAGGGGTCTCCCACCTCCCCTCCTGCTGCTCTGTAGCCCATTCTCATGCTCACCTTTCCAAAGTGCAAATCTGACCACACTCTCTCCTGCTTATAACCTTTCTGTGGCTCCCCCTCGCCCTCAGGGTGAAGGCTAAACCCCTCAGGTTCTGTCCCCAGCGCCCCCTCCAGCCTCTCCTCTCACGTCTGCTCCCTACCTCCGTGACTCGGCTCCAGCTTTGCTGAACTTGCGGCTCTTCTCAGAAAATGCCAGGCCCTCTCCACCCCCTGGCCTTCAGTTAGAATGATAGATCTCTTTCTCAGGACTCGGCTTGGATGTCACTTTTTCCAGGAAGCCCTCCCTGGTGCCCTCACTCCTGTGCCTGAGTTAAATTCCCTCTCTGAGTCCCACACAACACACTCCGTGACTGGCTCCCAACACAGTGCTCCTCCTCCTGAATCACATTCATTTACCTAACGTGCCCCTTCTCTCTCCCTGAGGTGGGACGCGCATGCCCAGGCTTGGCACTGAGCAGCACGGACTCTCCTGGCGGGGAGGGCAGCCCGTGGCACGGGGAAAGCACTTTCCCCATTTCTCTAGTTGCTCCAGGAGGACAAGAGTGGTCTGTCTTCCAGGCTCCCTGCCACTTGCCAATCTTCTTATTTTCACATAATGCCCGCCCGAGCCTAGCTGGGCACTTGCCTTGGCAACAGCTTCTAGTTTGAGTTAGTGGATTGTTTTGTTTTCACTGCACTTGTTTTTATTTATAAATTCTAATATGGAAAGTAATGCAAGATTTTCTTTTATAGAATTAATTTATATGAGTAAAGGCAGTAAATCAATTTAGAAAAAGGTTGGCCAATGGCTGTCCAGGTGGCGTGCATGGCGGTAAACGCATGCATACTCACACGCACACGTGCATGGAAGCGTGAAGGTCAGAACCCTCCGTTAGTGCAGTAAGTCCTCAGGGCCTGGGAGGCAGGGTGCTAACCACCCGTGTGACTGGGAGAAAATCACTTTTCTGTTTCTTAGTTTAGTCGCCTGTAAAAAGAAGAGAACAAAATTGGGCCATAGAAGCAAATGATTTCATCTCCCAGATACAAATCTCTCTTCCTGCTCATACGACTTGGAAATCACTTTGCTGAAAAGGAACCCATAGGTGATTATACTTTTTATATTAGAAATCAGAGATCTGAGGGGGACAGAGGTCAAGCAACTTATACAAGGTCACACTGCAATTTAATGTCAAATTCAAGACCTGAATCCAGGTTTTCCCACCCCAGTGATCTGTTTTTCTCCTCATTCTGAAACCACCCCCTTATGAAACACACACACACACATACACACACACACACACACACACACACACACACACACACACACACATACACACACACAATATAAAACCATCTTGAAATAATGGAAAAATAAATAAGAAAAAGATAAAGGCCATATTTAACAATGTTAAAAAGGGAAGTAATATACCTGGAAGCTGAGAAAATATGTTACAGGGCTTTCCACAATGCTGTAATTCCCTTGTTCTTTATGTGGGTTAGACACCAGGAGCCAGGAGCCAGGCAGGCCACACAAGTTTAAGTGAATCACCTTTGGTTACTATACATTTATAATAAGACCTGCTTATGTAGACCAGATCCAATCACCACTTCACCCTCTGTGGGTCATGAAAAACAGCTTCCTCAAGATTTCAAGGGGGATAGTCACCCACATTTTTTAAATGGAATTTTTAGACACTTTTAAAACTATCTCAGCAGAGCAATTTGCATATATGATGTGGTCCCTGCAATGACACAGTGCAGTGTTTTCCTCTAACCTTGTCTTTGCAAGTGCGCTGAACATGTTTATCACTGAGCTGGTTAGAAGCAGACTGACCAGATTTATAGATGAACCAAAGTGCACAGAATCAAAACATTTTAACCAAAATTCCCAATGAAATGTAAAATGGGTAGATCTAATGGCCTTCATATATATATATATGGTCACGTAAATATACATGTATGTGCGTATATATAAATTTCATATGTAGCAATTGAGAAAGATCTGGTCAAACTGACGGTCATGTGTGATGTTTCATAAGCCCACTGTAAGCCAATGGTAAAATGTGGTGGCTCAGGGAAAAGCAACATCCTAACACAACGCTGAAATAACATTAAGTACCGTAACATCCCTCTGTGCGCCCACCAGCCAATCCAGAGGCCTGGTGCAGTTACGGGAACCACCGTCAGAGCGACAGACACTGGCATCTGTCCAGGAGAGTGATGGGTCCGTGGGAAGGGGAGAGGGTCTGTAACCTGAGGCAGATGGCGCACAGTCACGGCACCTGTTCAAGGGCCAAGCGAGCCTTGTTCACGTGTAAGAAGCACAGAGGCTCTGGGACGCACACGCCCGGGTCAGCTCCCAGGAATGTTGCTGAAAGGTCTCCGCGTGGGAGGTTAGCCTCCTCCACAGCTTCCCTCCCCGCTCGGGATTGTATGGTTTGTGGTGGGAACAAAACCACATCTATTTGACATGGTAGTGGATTAGGCCACTTCATTTCCTTCCTGGAGAAGAATATTCTGTGGGGAGTGTTTTGACAACTAAGCACGCTCCTAAGAGAAAATGAGAGGTCTGGAGTGTAGACAAGCTGGGTGACTAAAGGCTGCCACGTTGATTCAACTCACCACCCGCTTCCCATCCCAACACACCCCCAACCGTGTGGTTGGCCCAGGAGCTAGAAATGAAGGGCAGAGGGTCTGGCAGCAAAATCGAAGCTGCTGGGCATCAGGCGGGCAGCCCCATGGCGGGGTCTTCCTTCATGTTCCCACAGTTCAGGGTGAGGGTGACCCACCTGTGTCAGGGTCACTGGAGTTGCTCATTAAAATGCACGTTCCTGGGCATCTCTCAGACCTAATGGGTCAGCACTATGGGGGCAGGCAGCTCCTGAATGGCCCCAGTGATGCCCGCCTCCTGGGATGCACATCCTCCCTTTTCGTGTGGGCTGGACCTAGTGACTCACTTGTAAGAACAGAAAAGGCAAAAATAGGTGGATGTTGCTTCTGTTAGGTTATGCGAATCCTGTGACTTCCCTCTCTCTCGTGCTCACTGATGAAGCCGGGAGCTTGGGCCGCCCTAGGCAACAGCGAGCAAGGCTCTGCCCCCAGCCAGCACGACGTGAGTGGGTTTGAAAGTGGATTCTTCCCTTGCCGAGCCTGAGAAGACTGCAGCCATGGCTGACACCTTGACCGTAGCCTTGGGAGCCGCCCTGAGCCAGGTCACACTTGGATCCCGGCCCTACAGAAACTGAGATAATGATGCTCCCAGCCACTGCGCGTGTCATGCGGCGACAGACCTAATAGAGATGCTGTCAGGGAGCTGCCCTGAAATCATGACACCCAGCCTTCAGGTCTCCCCTCCCCCCTCTCCCTATGACACAGGAGACAAATGTCTGTGCAAATGCAAATGGGAAATATTTAATAATATACACTATTTACACGTCACCTATGTCATAGCTTTCTAAGGCTCGATTTTTACATCCTGGCCCTTGGGAAGCTTCTTCTGGTTCTTGGGGGGGGTGGGGGCAGGATGGAGACAGTGAACCTGCCTTCGACCTCACGCCTGTGCCTTCCAGGGCCATTCTGAGGCTGTGTCTTTGGGCTGAGAGCATGGTCATTCCCACCTGCCAGTCCCCAGGCCCCTCCACGGGCAAGGGGAGGGGTCTTTCCCTGAGCAAAGTCAGGGAGGCAGCCAAATCCAATCGCTTGCCTCCTCCCAGCCAGTCCCTGATTTCCCGGGGGAAGGAGCGAGGCTTCCCACGGGCACAGCTTCTCATTTTCTCCAGGAGAACTGTGGGTCAAGAAAGTGCATTTCCGAGGCCAGCTGTGTGGAAGGGCCACCGTCAACTGGGAAGGCGCTGGACCCACAGCCGGGACTTCTCTCCGGGCTCCATCTCCCACCGCTGTGTGGCCAGCCCCGAAGGAGCCCCTCCTCTCACTGTCAAATGAGGGGCTGGGCCAGGCGATCACTTAGACCCTCCAATTAGTGTCCAGGAGCCTAAGGCAGGGAGGCACTGCTGGCATGGCAACTGGTCAGGGCTGGGCCAGCTCTCCTCAGAGGGCCAGGCCCCCGCCACTCAGCCACCGCGCCCGCTCCGCCGAGCGCCCGGACGGGCTGCTGAGCCACAGGGGGCTCTGACAGATGCTGTCCAGCCTGCTCCTGATGGTGTCCTGCAGCTCCTCATCGCCCAGCAGGGCCGCTGCTGCCAGGGCCAGCCACAAGTACTCAGTGGCATCGTGGGCATCCTAACCCCAAGGCACGGGGCAAAGAAGAGACAGCATTAGCAGCATTTCCAGGAGAGGCCTGGAGGCGGCGGTGGGAGCCCTATCGGTGTCTGCCCACATACCTTCATCCCTCTCCAGGTTCCTGGGGGAGCTCCTCCCCTCCTCCCAGGCACAGGGTGGCACCTTAAGAGGGTCAGCCAATCACGAAGCAGCATCCCCTCGGCACAGTGCTTCAGGAAGGTATAAATGACTCAAGCTGGTCTATCCCAGTCCCTCCCCAAGGCCTTCCAGTGTGATCTAGCAGAGAAAATGGTCCCTTACCCTTTTAGATATGGGCTTGGGCCTGCCCATGGGGGAGGAGAAGGGGGGAGACTATGAAAATGGGGAAGGAGAAGCATACAGAGCCAACAGATAGAGGGAGGCAGGGAATGCATGATGGGAAACTGAATTCATTCCTGAACTTCCCTGTTATTTAAGCAAACAAACTGCCTCTTTTGCTTAAGCTAGCTGGAGTTGAGTTCTTCCCCGGCAGCTGTAGAACCTTTAGTTGACACAATCCAATCACACACTTTGTCCCTGAGCCACTTGCTGGGAGCTGTGGGCAGAGGCAGGATGGCTGGGGGCCTCCATGCCCAGGCCTCCCTCCCTACAGGGTGGGGATGAGGCACAGATCTGCCTCGGGTGAGACTCAACAGGGATGTCTGGTTCCCATCAACCCTCATAACTCAATAATCAACTCAGGCCAGAAACAATGTCTGGCAAAGAAGAAAAGGAGAGCAGAGTTGCCCTGAGGATCCCCTGGGGCCAAACACAGGCGACTCGAAACCACCTTATTATGAGATTAAGGCTTAGGCTGGAGCAGACCGACCTCTGGCAAAGGGAAGCCAAGCCTGGGGACAGGATTTGAGCCAGAAGTGTGAGAGAGTTTCAGCACAGTCCTAGAAGAGGTGGGAAAGCAAGCCCTGAGTTCAACTCCAGCAGAGCAAACAGGAGAATCGGGACTAAGACCTTCCACAAGCCAAGGGATGCTGGCATTCGAAGACCCCACTCCTCATTGTCTCAAACATAGTAACCTGTAGCCAGATTTCTCCTAAATATAGTTTACACAACTGTATAAGTGAGTTGCAATGGGCTAGTTAACAACCTATAACATCTTGTAGACATACAGGTAAGCATTCATTTTTATTTTTCTTTTGGAGCTTTTGTTTTGAGTCTCATATATTTTCATAGGCTCTCAGGAACCAGGCAATGTGTCCCTCCTACCTGACAGATAAAGTGGTCACAGGAACCAGAGCAGAGCAAAGAGGACGAGGAGCTACCATCTGTCCTCAGAGATGGGAGGCACCTTTGAGCTCTCCATGGGGGTGAAGTGGAAGGAGCATTGGTCCCCAGTGGAGTCGGTCCCTACCCTTTGAGACGGGACTCCCCCTCAGGGCCATCTCAGCTCTACCCTGAAGGCCAAGGGTCCGGGAAGAACATGGCTGAATGGCAGCTCTCACCTGATCTTAGAAGCCTGACTCTTACCTTCAGCTGGTAGAACGTGAGTCGGCCCAGGCGACAATATACCTTTGCGTAGTACAAGGCCTCCTTAGGGCTCTGCAGCCAGGCCGGACAGAGGGACAGAGTCTTCAGGTAGCAGTCCTCGGCCATCTCATACATGTGCAGGGAGTAGTACACCGTGGCCAGACGGTGGAAGGCCACCAGCTCCTGCTTCTGATCTCCTAGGGATCGGAAGACTGAGCAAGACCCAGGCAACCATCGCTTCCCATCACCCCTCCCCTCATTCGCTCTGCACAATTCTGTGGAGGTCTGCTAGGGTCAGGGACTGGGCTTGGGACGTGAGGAACAGAGCAGAACAGGCCCCTGCCCTCACGAGGGCTACTGTCTCACAGGACACAAACATTCCGGAAATAATTCCACAAATAGAAGTAAAATTACACCTGGGATAAGTGCTACAAAAGAAGACACAGCTGTCTGAGAGCGCACCGGTCAAGGTTTTCTGGGATGATTCCTGAAGCAAACATTCTCCATATTATAGGTGTCACCTTCACTTGAGATTCTGGGAAATAATTATTTCCAAATTCCTGTGGGGGACGTGGTGACAAGATGAGCTTGCTGAACCAGCTACGGATTCTTTACAAGGAGATAACACTTGTCAGCTCCACACACGGGCTGTCCTGAGGGCTCTGGGCTGCCACCAGCTTGGATCTCAGGGTCTCCCAGAAGCCACAGAGACCTGCTCTCCAGTAACCCACACTATGGAGCCTCTGCTCTAGGGAGCCTAGATCTTATTTTGGTTTTGGGTGGGTTTGTTGTTTCAATAACAAA